GTTAACTATATTAGTTTCCAGAGGGAATGAAGACTCTTGGGTAAGTAAACGAAAAAATTCAATTAATATAGTTGATGTGAATCTATCACTTTCTTTAATCATTCCGATCGATCAACAATAGACATTTTGACACATTTCCAGGTCTACCGGGTGGTGATGGGAAAGAGAACGCACACATAGTTACACAAAAATGAACTTTAATTATGACCTTGAAATATACAAAAAGGACTAGTAATATGAAACTAAAGGCGATATAGCAAGAAATATAAATATAAATATTAAAATTTTGGTGTCTCACCAAACTCGGATTTTGAAAGCAACCTAGGGAGTGTGATTCAATCATTTTATTGAGAAATTACAAACCTCTGAGGCGATTCGAGAATCCAAGGATCGGCTATAGGTCGGGTTTCTGCGTCATTGTAAATGGTGTTAGCGAAGCGAAGAATAGCTGAAGAAGGAATAAGTCCATCAACCACGTTGAGTGCGGAGTCTCCATTCTGATTTACAACAAGACTGAAAGTCTTGTCAAACCATCGTGAACCTCCTCCAGAACCTGTGAGAGCTGAGGAGACCTGCGTGACAAATCAGGAAAATGCGCGAGTTGAAACTCTTTTAAGGCTATTTAGGCACAGGCTCACATTTGTGCGGAAAACCAATAAAAAAGGAATAAAGCAATTTAAAGGAGTTAAACTGGACACCTGTTCACAGTAAGTGACAATAATCAAAGGAGAAAAAAAAATATATTACTCGACAAAGATGGAATTCTTGAAGCTCCATTCCATGAATAAGTGCTAAAATTCGTCTTGAAAGCTAGCAGGATAAATTGGCATAGACTGGCAAATTTAAGCAAAAAAGAGGAATTTGGACGAAAAAAAAAATCCAAGCAAAAGTTTACTCGATCGTTTACCTAATGGTACAGCGGCAAGGATTATGGATTTGCATTCAAGGAGCCTCCGATAGAGCTCAATTGCGCCCTGTCTGCAAATCTAGACGACCCCTGACCAGTGTTCATTACTTTCCATCTAAAAATTCCAATGACAAACTGCATTGGCTAATTGTTGTAAACAAGGGAGTGACTTCTCTCCATGGGTGCTTTCTACCTATCTGCCTTATTAAGTACATTTTAGTGCTTTTGGTAATGGCTTCTTTAAGTTTGTGGACATTCAAAGTGGGGAAAAAGCCAAAATACGTCAGAAAGCAATCGTGGACTTGCCTCTAACTCAGAAATTCAATCATTTTACTTTCGCTCGAGGGATGCACGATTGACTCACCTCCACGTGGTGCACCCTCGGCAACGTATACTCATAAGGCAAGAAAGTCTATTAACCGGCAATTGACTTCTCACTTCAAAACTGCCATAACCCCATTATATGCCATTTTCAGCCACTTCCACAGTACTCGCCTTAACTTACTCTCGACCTTTGTGTCTGTCTCTTTTTTAACCTTGGAACACTCTTCTGTCCCTCGCCCCTCACGACCTTTTTCACTTTGGTGTTCCTCCCCTCTATGAAGCCCGAAGTCAACTAAAGGGCTAATGATGACTATCATAAAGCCTGCCATTTGATACAAAGCTTTCGTTCGAATCTAATCTTTAAAATTAGCCTTACTAAATCAACTTTACCGAAAACCGTAACATAAGCAGCAAGTTCAGTGAGTTGACATCACGTGATAGGGGGGTTTCGGAATGACACTTTTCTGTACAAGACGAGTGCAAGAAAACACGTGTTAAGTGTGTGGCTCTTGGAATGAACTTCCCCTTCATGTTCACCGTCGAAGATCATAGATTTGGAACATCTAGAGATTATGTCTAACCGGAATCATCCGACGACAAGCGTAGGGAAAATGGGAGAAAGTGACAAACGACTGCGAACCAGATGGAAATGGGTTAAAGTAAAAAAAAATATTTGGACAAAATTTTACGTTAAATTTACAACTTTAAGGATGAACTTTGAGAGATTGTTCTACTTGGTAGATAGCTTAAAAATTGAAAGCAGATGAGAAATCTTAAAAACACAAGACTGTAAAAAGCATTAGGAGAATTTCACAAACCAGATCCAATCCATTTAGTTCGTTTTTAAACTAAGAATAACTAGATTATACTAAAAATTGAGCATTTCTAATGCCTGAAGAGAACAAGAGAAGTTGTAGTTTGAGCTGTAAGACTTCTTACTTCAATCACCTGTCTTAGTTATTAAGTTCTATATTAGTAAACTATTAAAATAAGTTAGTATTTCGCGTATTCAACAAACAAGATTCCAAACCACGAAAATGATTGAAATAATATAGTCAGGCGTTAAAATCAATCAATTTAAATGACAACTCACTTGTAGAGCGATGTCGTTTGAGGCACAATCGGACATCACAAGAGTTAAAATGGCGGAATCGAGAAGTTTGATGTTTCGTGAATTAAGACCCTCTGTATAGCCATCAAGGCGATTCAACCGATTTCTTGCCATTGTAGCATCATCTCGATTCATAGTTGTAATTAATCCTAAACTAGGTTTGTGAATATGACTCCTGGGAAGTGATTTGATAAACACCAGGTTAGATACGAGCTGTTCGCAGGAGATCATTCGGCCCTAATATGCATAACTACTTTAGTATTATCAGTAGAAAGGTTTTTTCAACTTTTCTCAATTTAGAAAAGGGACAATTACGAACAAATACCTGATGATCGAAAACATCGAAGAAATAGAAAACACCCTGGTTGATTACAACGATATGACGTGAATCGCTGAATTTATTCAATCTATCCATACTGAAACTGGGAATGAAAGCTGATTGAAATAGGCGATGATAGGAGCTCATATCTAAAGGAAACACCTACAATTAATGCTCAGACTGATAGATGTTTAACTATACTCAAATTTATTAAGCTGGAAAGAACTAACCCTAAATAGATAGGCACCATAGGCGGCATACAATGAAGGTAGAAAATTAATAAAGCGGTCAAAAATTTGCGGGCTGACAAACAAAGGTCTGGGATTACCACCAAGATCGACATTCAGCTTGTTATGACGGAGCGATTCGAAGAAACGAAGCGAACTGTAAATTAAGTTGGCTGCTCGGATTGCTAACTAAAAGAGAAGTAGTGTTAATTAAAGCTGCAGTTAAATGAAACAAGATTGACGGTAATAAGCCTACATCATTGTAGCCAGGACTAATCAGAGAACGGCAAATCATGTATGCAGAATTACGGTGCATGATGGGATCTCGATCTTTAGAAAGTGACTCTACTCGAAGTTTTGTCATGAAATTCGGATTGGAATATTGCAAATCCAATAATATTCCTTGCATGGTAGTGACATATCTGCTATGAGATTTTTCAAAAAGGTCCAATATCTCTTCAGATGATTCGATTCCCCCTAAACCTTTCTATACAATTAATAGTTTTGAACAAATTAAACTTGCTTGAGAAGCAAGACAACGGGCCAATGATCTATCCAAACTGAATGCGGGTAAACAAGGGAGACTTTTCTGAAATGTATCGGTTGGCAAATTACTTTCTTCAATAAAAAATTTGCTAAGGTTTCGAACATAATGAGAACCAATTTTATAGGTTAGTAAGTGCTGCGCATGTCTAGATAAAACAAAATCTTTAGTTATCATTGCCAGAACCGTAATCTAACGCACAAAAGCCCTGGTAGGTTCGTTCAAGGTTTTATGAAGGTCACTCAAAAATTCATTAGCATCATAAATACAAAAAATATGTGCTTATTGGGTAAAGTAATATCTATTTCCGTCGAAATAATTTACGATATTCAGAGTAAATCTGTCAGAATTCAAATTTACTTGAAATTGAGGTCTGCCTAGTTTAGTTTAGGTTAAAGCTTAATTAATAAAGTGATTCTGTGGAACGTGAAAGCAATATACTGTTATGCCATGAGGTTACAAGAATATCATCACTAAGATATAAATAATAACAAAAACACTATTGGAGTTACTGAATAAAGTTAGTTAAATTGAAAAACAACATGAAACGAAACGATGTGAAAATATGAATTTGTCATGAAATTCACTCAAATTTATGCAAATAAAACCATTTTACAATATGTTTTTACTAGATATGAGGTAAATCAGGCCCATAAAATTAATTGGCGTCCAGTAAATTGCGAAAGAGGTGGAGTTAGCTCTATTTAAGAATAAAAATTCAGTAGGATATTAAAGGCTATTATTAACTCATACACGAGGTAAAAATCATATTAAATGATGAATTTCATGCATAAGCTATTTTTCTCTTAAATTATCAAATTCTTATAAAATTTATAAGGATGAGAATATAGGAAAAAGACTTTCCGCATTTGTTATTTATTTTATTTCCAATGACAAAAATTTACTTTTGAAAATTAAGGTTAAACAATGTAATAAGTTGGAAGATGGCTGAGAATTAAGAATAGAATATTGAACTTTTATTGGATGGAATTTTATAAAAACAAGATAGGCTTTATGAATCTCGATTATAGTGAATCATAGAGTTGTAAATATTTACAGAGTTAAGGTCATCTCGATAGTTATTTAAATTTATTACACTGTTTTCCTTAATTGGATTGAGAGACACTCATGTAAGGCTGTAAATGGAGATCTCATAGTAAAAAACTGCATAACATGCGATTAAAAGGTGTTCTCTAGAAAAGCAGCAACATTTCTAATTAATACTAACTGATTAAGGCAAGTCAATTATTCTTGCTTTCATTGACTCAGGATAAAACATAGTAAAATATTATAATAGATTATTTCGTTCATCAAATACTTGCAAATAATGTCAATATAGAATTGTTCAACAGCATCATGGTGATCCTCTTATTCGTGTGCTACTGAAGAAGACTGCACTAAAATATCATTATTTAATTATTCTTTATTTCGAATGGCAGGCGTTTTGATAGTAATCATTAGCCCTATAGCTGACTTCGAGCTCCACAGGTTGAAGGAACTTCAAAGTAACAGAAAGTCTAGGAATGGGAAGCAGAATAGGGATTCACAGATGTAAACGAGACAGACAGACGCAAAGGAATAGAATAGGCAAGTTGGTTACTGTGTTTAGGGGGCCGAATATGGCACACAGTAGGGACATGGTAATTTGAAGTCAGAAATCAACTTCCGGTTAATGGACTTTTGGCCGTATGAGTATACTTTGCCTAGAGTACACCACGAGGAGGTGAGTCCACCGAACACTCCACTAAAAGAATCGTAAGACAATACCACAATACCATATGCTCATGAATTTCCCAACAAAATAATAGTCAAAGAAGTGTAACATAAAAATCGCATATGGACATCGATTGCAACAAAAGAGACATATCGGAGGGTTTTAATAAATAGAACTTCAAATCAACGAAAAAATACAGAGGCTGGTATTAGACAAAAGAAAAATAGAGATTAAAGGCCAGTAATATTACAAACCTATAACATTTTGAAAATATTATTTTCAAATAATAAAAATCCTCGAAAAGAAATAATAAAAGAATATGACTTAAATATATAAGCATAACTATAATTTAATAATAAATAATGAGATAATTATTTTGGCAATTTAAAAAAATTATAAATTATAAATATTTTCAATTTTTAAACATCGTAGTTCATATAATGTATCTACAATAACTTTATTTGTCAAATTGAAATAAACAAGTATTTCAACTGAATCCGATTTTGTTTAAGTTGGTCAAGGTTCATTATTGCCGGTACATCTGGAAATTTTACGTAAGTTGTCTTATCTTATTTTTTGTTTTTCGTAAAAGCTTTTTCCAGATTTAGGAAATGACGAATTTGTTACATCACCTTAAAAGTTGCTCTAGTTTAAGTGTTTGTTAAATCCCATTCAAGTTATCTTAATTTTGTTTCTTCTAATCCAAATATAACTGTTATATTCAACATAATTATTCTAACTTAATAGACAGCTCATGGTTGCGGTCTAATATTATTATAAGTAATATATTCGATCTAATATTCGATTGAGCTTTATAACTGGGCCATTGTCTTTATCGTGCATGACTTTAGTTCAGACGTCTATTCTATCAGTCATTTAAGTGTTCAGTTTTTTGCCATTTTATTTTCCGTTATATTATTATCTATTTGCATATTTTAGAAAAAACGAATGTCTCCTATTTTATCTCGTAAGCCGACTGTTGTCGGTTCATCCCCTCGTCGAACACGTCGTAAGATTTCTAATCAAATTTTCTCTCCAAAATATGTGTTGCCTGTTCGGAGAAAGTTTGGAACTGCCGAAGGCAGAAAAATGCGTTGTAAATCGCCAGTTAAAGGTGCGCTTCTTTCAGTTATCGTATTGCTTTTTTAATATGACAATTGTAAAATCATATCTCTCACAGATCAAAAATCAACCCTAACTGAAGTTAACAGAGTTTGTCCAAAGAACTCTCCTAAGAAGAAGATTCCTAAAACTCCAAAAAATCGCGTCGTTCGTGCTCCTCTCAACCCCCAAACGAAAGCCCACACCAAAGGATTTTCTCAGCAGGATACTTCTCCTTTTATGTCCCGAGTTATAGATCTTGAGCAGCAACAACAATCCTGTAACATTGCTCCACTTTCCTCATCTTGGGCAGCTGTCAATTCGTCAGCCGAAAATTCATCTGGTGCTGTCATTCCGTCTGATGAAGTAATTCAAGAATATGTTGTCACTAAAGACCTTATTCCAACCTTGGATATTGATAATCGTATGGAGGAACTTGGAGTCGAAGGAAATGTTGATGCTATAGATGAAACACAGCCTGCCATTATAGCATCTGATGAGTATGAGGCAGATCCAATCGATATTTGTGAATCTGACCCGTAAGTTGTTAGTCTTACTTTATTGCATTTTTTTTCAAATCATCTCCTATCGTCGATTTAACAATCTAGATAAGAGATGTCTGAAAAATTAGGCTTTCTGGTAAGTGCAGTTTAGTTTGGTTAGGTTTTTTAATGGCGCTAACTAGTTCGCCTTATTTTAGATCTTTTTTCAATTATTAATAAAATCGTTTTTTTTTCTTTCTTTAGGTTCGCCTTCATTCGGACGTTACCGCCTGTGTCAGACGACTTTTTTGCCCATCCCCCAGCCCTTCCTAAGCAAACCCGATCGTGTCCAGAGCACTGTTTAGTTCTCGATTTGGATGAAACTCTGGTTCATTGCAGTCTGGAGCCCCTGGTTGATGCGAAATATGCTTTTCAAGTTGTATATCAGGATGTTGTTTATATGGTAAGCTTCGTTTTCATTATTATACTTAAAAGGAACTCTTAACTGTATTAATTAAAAAAAATGAAGTCTTTCATAATTATTATAATAATACTATTTTTTCATTTACGCGCTCTCTCTCTACATCTTTTAGTAATTAAATATTGATTTTTATAGTATCACGTTGGAGCTCATTTGTTGTTTCCAGATCGGTTTGTAGGAAATATGATTCTCATTTTTGCCTACCAGTGTGGTGTCTGTTTTTTTTTAAATTTATTTTGAGAAATCTGATAAGACATTGATTTTTGTTGTTTGCAGTTTTAGAAAGTAGTTAGTATCTTCACTGGTTTACTAGCTCCATTTTCGCTAAATTAATTTGACGTATTGGTGGGAAGTTTCCCTTGAGAATCTTTATTTTAACTATTTTAATTCTTATTTAAGCTTTCATTTAGGCTAATAGTCTTTCAAGTGTTAAATTTATTACTAGTAAATAGGAGATATCCTGCTCATTCATCCATCAAGGTGTCACTCATCTTCATTCAGTGGTAACCGACTTTTTACCCACTTTAATTCGTTTGAAGAGAGTTGTGTTATCCTGTTGAAACAATTTTAACTTTCACTTTCTTCTCTCTCTAAAGGTATATGTTCGTCTAAGACCCCATCTTCAGGCCTTCCTCGAAAGGGTTTCTCAACTTTATGAAGTGGTTCTTTTTACTGCAAGTACCAAAGTATACGCAGATCAATTGGTAAATCTTCTCGACCCCAAAAAGAAGTACATAAAGTAAGCAATTTTTTGGCATTTTCATCTGCTTTTCTTTCATAGTATTAAGCTGCTAATCGCAAAGTTGAGATGGCACCAAACATAAACATCCGTCCAAGGATGCTAACTTCCCGACATCGTTGTATCGTAACTTAGAAGAGTGGAGAGTAATTGAATACACCTATTCAAGTTAGGTACAGGTAGAGGTGTGTTTTGAGTGGGGTGGAGTGGGTGTGGGGGCTTAATTTAGCTGTATTGGTCAGCTCAATGACAAACGGGGCCATTAAAAGCGTGTTCACATCCTGATCTACTTATATGACAACACGAGGATAGAGTGGAAATAGATATTTGTTCCGGTGAGATGCCATATACTGAAATGATTGTTCTAGTTTCGTGAGGTTTATATAATTTAAATTTTATTTTAGACACCGCCTTTTCCGGGAGAGTTGTGTTTTTGTTAATGGAAATTACGTAAAGGATCTTCGAGTTCTGGGGAGAGATCTTACGAAGACTGTGATCATTGACAACTCTCCTCAAGCCTTTGGTTATCAGGTGAGTATTGTTACTTCTGGCTTGAAACTTCCGATCATAATGTCCTATAGCATTCAGAATGCATTTTTTTTGGTTACCTCGATTAGGTATATAAGGATTTGTCTTTGAAATACCTAACGTGCATTCTGGGCTACCCATAAATGTATTTCAAGTCCATTAAATGAGTGGGTTTTTCAGAGATTTTAGCTTTCAGTGTTGCAATTGTCGATTAATACGTAGTGGATTGTGTAGTTTGGGGATTTTGGTTCTTGATCCATCCACTTCGTCATGATTAGTGTCACTTTGTCTATAAGATTTTGGGGGGTTTGTTCATTTATTGCTTAACTTCGGGTGCGCCTTGTTGACAGGCGCAGACATTGTTTCCTCAAGAGCGTTTTCTTATGGGATTGAAGGGCCGTACGCCCAAATTTATCAATTTTAGCATTTGAAGAACTTCGATTCGCAGTGGGTAAATTCAGTCTTCTCAAGAAAGCTTTTTGTTTTATTTTATAGCTTAGCAACGGAATTCCAATCGAAAGTTGGTTCACTGATCAACAAGACACCGAATTAATGAAATTAATCCCTTTCCTTGAACGATTGGCTAAATTGGTGAGTTTTACGTTTTTTCCATTCTCAAACTGAACATATTAGTAATCTAATTATTGATTTTTCCTCTAGTCCGATGTGCGACCGTTTGTGAACCGTCAATTCCAATTACAATCGCGAGTTTTCTCAAAAGATTTCTCTCAACTCCGATGTATTTCCACACCTAATAACCTCTACCATTGTGAAGACGATATCGACTCCTTGGAATTCGATCAGGACCCCATTGCTGACTTGGAAACAGAGACATATCTTGCTGATGACGACAGTTTGGAAAAGGAAGCCCAGGAGGCGGAATGTGCGAGTAAGGATGAAGTTTGGAGGGAGTGAAATAACCAAACGCTCTCAGATTTTATTTCATCTCAGATTTTAATTCTATCCCCTCTCCCTATTCCCCAATTCCCCAATTTATCTATGCATTTGTGCGTCTGTGTCCGTTCTCCTTGTGTTTTAATGTATTGAGATGTCTTATCACATCCTAAATGAGATGGCTAGCACAATCATATTATTTTAGACACTGCACTATCTCCCGACAATCAACTTAATTTCTCATTTTACTTGTGTGTACATATATTGATTGGTTGATTGATTGATTCCGTGAGCCACTCACGTTCACTCTATTACCCTTTTTTATCGATAGTAGCAAAGTGTATATTTTAGCCTTAACTCTCACTCTTAAAGTTAAGTCCCTCTTGTAAATACCTTACCATGCACATTCTCGCTTTATCTCACTTTGCTTGTCCCTCAAGTGTCATCCAACAGCATCTCTTTGTCTGCACGAAAGAGACCTTTTAATTCGCAAATTTTATCTGCCTGATATATATATTCATACATGCATATACAGTTACACACACATACACACAATAAATATATATATATATATATACAATTTACGTTCTCCCACTATTACAAATAGACATTTCTGTATTTTGACTTCTTTATACTCTAAAAGAGGGTTCGTTTGATCACTCCTTGGCGTCGTACAAGGATTTTATTCCTGTTGCTTTACAGCATGAGTGATCAAAGAGACCTGCTGATGTGGTGGCCAAAAATCTATCATAGAATTCCAAGGTGAAGTATTGGATGCCATTTCCTGTTACCACCTTGGCAGTTTCGAAACTCTACTTTGGAGCAGTTTAGATGTAACTCGGAAACTTTTTTGCTTTAGCTTTTGCTTACCGGCTCTCAGTGAATGACAATGGCAAGGTGACGCTCACGATTAAAGATGATCTACCGGAAGACAGAATGGCCTGCCCTTTGGTTCATTGTCGCAGAATATATACGAAGAAGAGGTGGTTGTTGTATCATATGAGATTATGCCATCCAGCATTTCCATATGCAGAGGAATATGAGAGAGCATTCTAACTCTCAGGCATCCCGTCTCAATGGTTACTGTTCGCCGTTGACGTGGAATCTAGATCTCATTTGATTGATTGTGAAATTTAAATTAAATTATTTGCATGTAATCGGCTATTTGAATCACTTGCTATGTGGGTCACTCGTAACTTTGACTTGGCCTAGTTTGGGTAAGTTATAAGATAAGCTGCTCGGTCAATTTTCTATTTTCAGCTAGGCTTGAAAATGGTTCTATTTTCGTCATTGGTTGGTCGTATAGTCCTCCAGGAGAGATTTATTGTTTTCGTTGATTTACCGATCGATTATTAGTTTGTCATCGAATAAGCGTCTCCGTTATGCATAGCTCATGTTTGCACGGTCTCTCGGATTTTTTTGTGAGCGTCCATTTTTCTAATTGTACCACGGTTACTATTCGGAAGCATGCGTATACAGGGAGGGGGGGGGGGTTGGGGATTAATAGTTTTGGCAAGGAACGGGGGGGTGGTTTAGCACTTTACCCTAGTTATCAGCTCAGCAGAAAGTGTTGCTACTTTCTTTTAAGCGGAATGCTAAAAAAATGACGCTTTGATAAGACCTAGATTAGTCACAGACGTGCCTGACTTTGATTTCTTACCTGGGCGTTGGTGGTGCAAAAACACAGTTTTCAGCTCAAAGTCCCTTGACGTAGAAATTTGCACTTTAGATTGATGTGGACATTGTCGACCATTTTATAACCGAAATAGCGTGATTGGCCAAAAAGCATCCGTAGTGCAGTGGTAGGTTCTTTTTACCCATGGACTCCCGGTTATAGCTTACTTCTTATATGGGGCTTAAATAAGGCTGTTTGGGTAAGAGAAGTTGGGAGACGGCTTTTCCCTTCTTGTAATCTGGCTGTGAGATCTCCCAGAGCAATTCCATGAGTTTGCTTTCATTCATCCTAAAATACACCTTGTAGTTCTTTAAGTGGGTTCCTATTTGATGACTTTCGTGGCAATATGACGGCTCATGTGTGGGTAATTGGTCCTACAAAAAAGTTTCGATGAACCTTAATTTAATTGGTAATCATTAATTGTGGGAATCATTTCTATCTCCAGGGGGCCAATAAAGGGTATTTAGTTCAAGTTAATTAAGTAAATGAACAGATATTCGCCTCAAGGTGCGAGAATTAATAAGTTAGATAAGTATCACTAATTGTTTCAAATTTACCGTCACGTAGGAATCGGTTCAGCAAACATTGGTATTTAACTTGCCACTACACTGGATCGGGGTTTTCTATTACTTATTCGATGCGCCTCCGTTGGTAGTGAGACAGTGGCCTTGGACCCTAAGACATAGAAAACTTGGTCTTCCCAGATAGTTAAAGCGCCAGGTCATTTGTAACTCGAAGGCAGCGAACTATGGTGCATTTGAATATGACGCATTCTGCTTACGGTTGACGGTTCTTTGGTGAATGCATTTTGTGTAATTTTAACGAAACAAGCTAATAATGGGACATACTCTGTGTTCAAAAGTAAAGCGTGGGGCAAAATTTGTATTATTTAAGGGAACTCTCGTAAATATGAGTGGAAACATTTGCGCCCCCTCTCTCTCCCTCTCAACGATGCATTTCTAATCGAAACGCTTGAATTGGCGTTAGTAATTGTCAATTCCAACTTGTTAATGTGCAAGGTGTAGGGTTTGAGTGTATTATCAGCGTTCTGGCTCTTCCTATTCCCTGGTGCTCCATGAATTTCGTCTTAAGATTTTGCAGACTTACAGCGGATCGCTACACTAACAAGACTTCACCTACTATGGATGAACAGACCTACAGTGTGGAACACGTTTGTTTGAGCTGAGTGTCAATCATAGAGCTTAGTCATCAAAAGAAAAACAATAAACAGTTTGTTAAGCAATGCAGGACTATTAATTAGTGGCTGGTTGAGAGATCATTGCACTCAAGCCGCGCCTTCAAGGTTGTCTCGGTGCGTGAGACTTCTTCACTCAGCAATGATCAGCGTCGTGCACTCCACAGACCATGCGGAAGGACCGTGATCACAACTACCCCTCCTGTCTCGACTTTGCCATAAGTCTTCCTACCCCTCTCCAGCGCTACCAACTCATGCCCAACCCGATTTGGAAAAGTGTAGTTTCTTCCTTGTATTGGTGGGGGGGGGGGGGGGGGGGGGGG